TCCTGGAACCACTCTCCTCGCCCTTTGTTGGCGTGAGTTCTTTCAGCTTCTGCTATGTTACTGTAGCATTTTCCCTGAACTAATCGCATATCTGCAAATTCGTGAAAGGAACTTCAAAGTAAGTCACAGTTTGACAAATTATTGTTATTATTGACAAGGGCTATCCACCTGTAACTATCTGTTAATGACAAAAAACATTATTGCCGCTTTGACTTTTCATCAAAAAATTGTAGAAGAGAACTTTTTTAATATCAAAAATTTTTGGACAACAACAACCCACAACTGGACCATACTGAATTTCCTTTGCCTCACAAGACCGACAAAACACTCCCGTTTTCGTTCCCCAACAGATACTTTACTAGAACACCTACAAACGCAACTGAACTAAGGACTAAGATCTGTTTGTTTTGTAAGCCAAGAATTTTTACTTTTTTATAGCTGATTAATTTATACGAGTGTTAGGAATAGGAATTAATTTTAGAATAAGCTAGGCTAAGACACATAGGTACTAAACAAGGGCAGAAAGACCGATTGGGTCGATAGCCTTTTTCTGTAGGAAATAAAGATTAATCATATATTATATATATATGTGATTTATTTCTTTTTCGTACGTGCTATTATGGCAACTTTCGCGTATAATTCAATGAAAATAACAAGTAAATAATCGTAAGACTCAAATATCTGAATTCACGGAACAAAACCAGTATCTGGGAAATATTATGTGTGCTTTAACAGTTCAAATGCCTTGAGTAAATGCATGCAAACGCCCACAGACATAATTGTTTAATTGATGACATTACGAAAAATGCAAGAATTTATTTAAATTTTTTAAGATCATAATTTACAGTACATCATAGGGAGACGCCGTCAATGAAATAATTTTAATCACTAGAGAAAATCGTTAATTATCCAAAAGTTAAGCTACTTCATTTTATAACTGAAACTTATACTATTTTTTCACTATCTACGATAAAAATTGTTTTACACTTATACCTAATTATTCAGAAAGAAAAATATTCTTAACGTCTGAAATGGAATTTATTCTACTGTTTTTGAAAAGTCTTGAATTAAACAATTCATAAATATATCTTCATAATCGAATTATTTGTATTGCGTTCTCCATATTTTAGTGTATGTTGCGGTTCTGTTATGTGTTTTATGTGTAATGTCCGGTACTTATTCCCTCTTTTAAAATATAGACAGCTGATTTCAATTAAGAAAGAAATTCAATATTAACATAAAGGTGTAAATTACCAAGCCTTTTGAAATTAGTCAAGCTCATAACATGTGCATATTTGATGGTTTTCATCAACATTTTATTTTGTTTTTTAAACCTAATAATTCATAATAATGTCATTAATACTTCTTTCTAATACTAACTTCTAAAGTTATAATAATCACGTTCTTCATGACAATTTTTACATTAGCGTTTATTGAAAGGCCTTAATAAAATAAAAATTGAAGTGAGTAAATAATAGCATTTCTCCTTTTGATTAGTTTTAGAGATTTTACACGCTAGCCTAAAAATTTTATTTATGAACTAACCATACGAGAAAAGTGTGACGCAAAAATTATTTTACGTTTTCCGGCATTAACATTTAAATCTGGAAGCTGCAGTAATTGAATTGTAAATAAGTTAACTATAGAATTATTTAATAGAAATTGATATTTATGGATTTGATAAGATTCAATGGGTACTAGTGTTCATCATAAGAAGAGACTAGTTTTAGATTGGAAAATCTGAAAATGTATCCTAGAATGTAGAATCGTTTACTTCAATTTCTCTTGAAATAAACGGTATGTTTTTTTTTAAATGGCTCGAATGATTTGTAAAATGTTGGTTTCCTTTCTACTTTCTAATCAAATACTTTTCGTCCCAATTTGACGTGCACAAGTGTGAACAATTCAACTAAAATCGAAAAAGTTCAATTGAGTCAGTTGAGTTCAGAAAACAATTAAAAATCCTCATTCTCACTAAAAACTAAGAGAGTCGAAGAAAGCTGACCCTTGAAGTAGACAACCATATTTAACATTAAATGAATATCTGCTAATTTATGAGTAAATTATCAGATGTCTTTCAACCGAGAGAAATAATTTCTGGGAAAGTTCCTCGAAAAACTCATTTGCTAGTAATAAACAACAGACTGGCTTCGAGCCAGTAGAACAGTCATCATTATGTAGGAGATTAAACTCATATTTTCCCCAAGGAAGTTAAACTTGCTTTAATTTCAGCATTGATATGAATTGTGTTATGTTCTGTACAAGTTGTGGACAACGCAATTTTAAACCCAAACAGAAATTCGCTCTAACGTTGATCTGTGTGTCATGCGATCTGCATGAATTTTTTCAAATAAGAAAATTCACGTAAGTTTAAACAAACGTCTAGATGTTTTCATAAACCTCACTGGTAGTCTAAAAAGCGATACCCAAATGTGCAAAATAATGGTATGTAAAGAATTGCCACAAAACGAATAAAGGATTATTTCAATAAAATTTTCTAAATATTATTTCCGTCAAGTTCACTTCATTGAAAATGTGCATATTTAGCATTAGCAGATTTAGAATTACTCAAAGTAAGTACTCATCTTCATTTGAATTGTTTGTATAAATCCAATAATAGCAATTCGGTTTTTGTGTTTCTATTGGTTGGAGATCTGTCGATTCGTCCGTCGTCGTACCAAGTTAAAAAATGTTTAACGTTATACGATGGTCGTATGGTTTTTAACCTCACATTCATTGTTTACATATTATATTTTATGTTGAATTTATTGTAAGTTTTAATAATGAAAACTAAACTTGCACGACAAAATAGTATTAATAAAGTGCTTCTGTTTTTATTATTATGGATTAGGCACAACAGGGAAAGTTAAAATACCTAAATGAAGATTTTGGGTTCCAGACCACATTTCATAACAAAATAAACGAATATTTCATAACATACGTGTTTTTTAATTGATTTGGACCGATCCCTGAGTATTTTTTTAAATATTAAATGCGGCGCTCTTGTTGAGACACCCATATACCTCCATTTTAAGCAATGTTGCCGTATTATTTTGTGCATTCTTAAAACTTCTTTAGAACTTCAATTCATAATTTGGTTTTTTTACATGTACGACCTGACATTTTCATAAAAAAAAAACTTTGACAGGTGTTATTGCTGCTGATTTTTCAGCCGTAGAACTAAAGTCGAGGTTGTTGGAGTTAAGTATGGTAACGATAAAATTGTGAATCCAGCAAGCATGGTTATCCTTCACAAGCCAAGATTATCGTATACATGGGACAGCCAGAAATCAGGATCTTACGAACGTCTACAATCTCTGACCAATAGAAACACTTTCGTACCATCGTATAAACGTATGCAAGGGACGGAGGCTTAACTAGTCGCGCTTTACTAGGAAATCTTCGGTTACTATATTAAGGCGAGTACAGACGCAACAGAATATAGTAACGGAAGACCGTCGCGTATCAAGTCTGGACGGCAGACTGCAACAGGGTCTGCAATCATCGAAACATCTAATCAGTTGTCGGTCTTGTCGGGTTTCAACAAAGAAATATACCGTCTACGGAATATGACATCGGAACTTTGCAAGTCTGGACTCGAATGCGAACACGTTCACGATTGTTGCGTTTTATAATTGCATATTTAGTATGTTTAAAGTTTGTATCAACTGCTGGGACGGAATAATGCTTCGTGGTGATGATGCGGTCCTCTTTCTGTTCGGCCCACATTATCTCTTCGTCACACAAGAACCAATGTTACGCAACGGTGTGGCATTACTAAGGTCTGTTTGGTGTGTCTGAACGCGGCTTTAAGTACCGCATCAAAAATGAACGATCCTAGATGACGCGTTAATGTAAATACGGAAAATGCATTATTTAATACAAAATTTGAGGGCGTGTAACATGCAATAGGAACAATATCGTTTGCTTCTTTCAAATACTTTATACACTAACTATGTATGTGGACTATGGGAATATTCAGTGCGTGTTTATTCTATGTGATCGAACAATTCAAAAACTGCATAAAACAATACGCAAGAAAGACTTTGTACACAACTATACGTTACCTGGATATTGACATTGAACCAATTAGACCATATATTTCTGGACTGGAAATAGCGCTCTGGAATTGACACTTGAAGGCACTTTTTTGCCATTAACACAAATGATATATAAATACTTTAAAAAAATATTATTTAATCTTTCTGTATCAAAATTACATAATTATGCATATTCAGCAATTATTACGTAGTGTCAGTTTGGTAAAGTTTAACAAAGGTATTAAAGGTAGAACTTTAAATAGCATCTACCCATTAGATACAATTAAATTGAATTTAAGATTTAAAACTTGACAATTATTGCATAATCATTTCGTTACGTGGCTTCTATAGGCTAACACTCGAAACTTGCTCGGTTGCGACAGCTTATACCTGATCAGATTACTTCATGTAAATACCTTTTCGCGGTTCTAATTTGGGAATGGGTCCGAAACCGGCTGTGAGACAGCTTGGTCCAAAGTAATTTCTTGCATGCTCTTCATTTGACCACGATTTTATTTTATGTAAACCTTCAAAGATTATTTAACTTTATGTTAATCTAGAAGAATGCAAAGTAGAATGTTGATTTAGTAAAATGGCTTCAGTATTCCTTTTTAGGTTAGCGTTAGTCGAGTAACCTTTATAAAACGTTCATTATCCTTTCTTTTATCCCATGAAAACCTGCTTTTAGCTCCACGTGTCTGACCTAGCTTAATACCCACTATATTTTTAAAGAAAAACTAATTTTCCCTAGAGAACTTCTCTAACCCAATATGTTGCAGAAATTGCAGTTGCAACATTAATAAAGTTTGCTTTTCCAACATTTTGAGACATATATTCTTTTATATTGGAGAAGTACGCATGCTAGCGCTAGCTTTGCACTTGCCTTTGGCGTATCACAGAAAGCTTTTCATGGCAAATTTAATTCCGGTTTGGATTTCTAAAGTGGCAGTTTTGTTTCAGTCATGGCGAAGATTTAATCGTCACACCATTTGCCCAAGTTCTTGCCAGTTTGCGAAGCGTTCGCAACAATTTCCAATGTCTCACCAACGTACCATCAAACAAGTAAGTACTGTAGATATTAATTTAAGACTTGGAATCATCTCTTTTTCAAAGGCGTGCTATGTAGCCCTTATGTGTCTCATCGGGTAATAACACCCAGCAGACTTAATTCTGCTATGAAGAAAATTTATGTCTAGTGGCTCGCTTATTTCGTCTAATAATTATTTTCGACTATATTTCAATTTTTGTATAAATGAAGCGAACTTTCTTTATGGTTATAAACAAATGGCAAAAGTCCCAAGTACCGGGTTCGCAAATATGCATTATATGCACATACATTATGGAGCAAATTGCTTGCATCAAAACATTGTTCCACCCGAAGCAGGTACGTTAGTCGGTTCATCATTCATAGTGTGCTTTTATTAGATTATTCAATGCAAACAAAGGATCTCAACTTTAATCGCCCGTGCAAAAACAATTAAATTTTGCCATGTTCATAACTAAGCAGCTTCAAATTCAAGCTGATGGAATATTACAAAGGCAAACATACCATTAGATGGATAGAAGTGGCATTGTTAAAACGAACACAAATGACATGGAGGCATTGTGCGACTTCCTGCTTCCCAAATGAGATTTCTATAGATATTCGCTTCGAAATATTGTCAAGTATTCAAATGCTGCAGCAAATCTGAGCTTTACATATTTAGCGATTTCCTGCATTTTCCACTTCTTTTTCGAGTCGAATGTCGTGGAAGGAGGCATTTTTATGTTTCCATAATCTGATTTGTTTGCATTGAAAACCTATTGAATGCATTATGCAAGTCAACTTTGAGGAAATAGGTGAGGTATGAAAATAGGAAATAAATTCACAACCAACAAGTGGCAGCACAACGTGTTGAAGGATTACCCGCTCAATGAAGCCGTAAGATGCAAAGTAATTAATTTTTTTAATTATTGCATTTAAATTGGTATCTAAAAATGTTGTTGCAAGTTGATAATTTTTTTCGCTACTTTCTACTTTTGTCGTGCAGACATTCATTTTATTCCTTCTGGCTTGTCGTTGATACCTTCTTTACACTCTTTCACAATAGGACTACTTTTACATGCAGTTTCCAATATCTGTTCGTAGCAGTTCGTAGTATCAGCAAAATGCAAACATTTTGTATCGTTGTATATCATTTATCTGCCTTTCTTTTCAGATCTCGTCGTTCCTCGGGAGCCACTGCTGTTACCACGCCACAGCCTCGGAACTTAAATCCGGGAGGTAAGAATAGTGATTTTGTTTTTATCTAATATTTGTTTAATATTTTACTGCTAAACTTAATTTCYCAATTCTCAAGATAATTGGTTGTTAATTGTTAAATTTGGGAAAAATTTAGATCGAGCTGATATRGTTAATTGAACATATTTTCTTCTGCTGTAATTTTTCCTGCTCAAGTTTATTGTAATCCCACAAWTAGCGACCTTGTTTGATACATGTTTTATTCTATGGCCAAAGGTAAAATTAACTAGAAGGTTACTTTGTCATTTTTATAACAACCTTTTTAAACAGTACACTTAATCCTTTTTATAAAACTAAGTAGGTCTATCGAAGTTATATGGTATCTCAATGAAATAATCTACAAAATCAGTTAATGTAATTTAATTCAAGATTCAAGTTGTATATTTCCAGCTGCAGGAATATATGTTTTATAATATTTCCACAAATGTCCACGAYTATTTTATACCTGCTGATAAAGGTTTTAATGGGCACGACGCAATGAAATATTCCAAKTATTCTGGAGATGCTKCGAAAGTGAAATGTTAAAGAAATAAAAAAAGATTAATCCCTGAATTGCTGAAACTTTTGAACCTCGAAGAAAATAGGGGAAGTTAAACAAGATTCTATTATGTTAAATGGTGAATTTTGCGCACCCGAGAACGTGCTCTGAATTCAATTGGCTGGAATAAGCGTTTTTCAGTAAATATACTCCGTACGCTATAACTATGATGGCACGTCATCAATCATCTAACGAGCGTTGTTGCCATACCCGCCATAAATTAAATATATAAACATAAATACTCGAAGCAGTATTAAATTATCTCAATGTTGTCTAGCTTTTGCCTATTATTCTTTATGGAATAATGGTTTATTTGAAAAGAACAAATATACCGTCAACGCTAAAGTAATGGACAAGTACATAACAAGTACCAACAAAGTAGTTGCAGCGTTGACTAACAATTAAAACAATTGGCTTTGATAAATTTGTCGGTGAAAAAATTGAAAAATGTTTGCATTATCCTGCAGATATCTCACAAATGATTCAAACGTTTTAGTCTTAGAGGCTATTTCAATCGAACATGCAGAACCAAAATTGCTTGAATTAAAAATTATAGTACATTTTTTCTTAAGGGGTTCCAAACATCTTCCAAGTGAATCTAAAAGAGCTGTATTGTAAAAATGTCCGAATAAATGCTCTAATACAGGATTTAGAGCCTTAAAAGCTGAAACTAAACCTGGCTGAGGGATTTGTACCAAAGTAGTTCTTTTGATAGAGAATTTCGAAAGCTATTCTTTGGTAATAAAAACGCTTGCATTTGGGCTATTGTTCTCAAGAGTTCAAAACATATCGCCCATCTTAACTATCTAAAGCCACGAACTCACGCAAGACGTTAGAAAAGAATTAGGACGGATGTCATCGGTTAAAATCGGACAATATGTGAAGCCCCTGATCAAATAGGAAATTATGTATGTCTATAAGAAACCAAAAAGAACCAAGAAATGTGGATGGATCACTTGAATAAGAAGAATTTCTGCTGTCTGAACACCCTTTTCAGGGTACCGAAACAAGCAAAGCGTACATGTAAAAGTCAGGACACTAAAACTCAAAGTGAGATCGATTTCAAGCTATCAAATGCCAAGAAAATATGCGCCAACATATGTGATGAATCAATTGTTTCACAAACAGCCACTACAGGCTAGTGAGAGTATCCTTTGCCTTCAATCTGAAAATCCAAAGAAACAAACTTGTACACTGCTGAGGAACACTCAAACAGGAAAGCGACGGAATAATCAACAGAAACTAAGGCCAATGGTTAACGTAGCCAAAATAGGTTTCAAAAACTATGTGGGTTTCAAGAATTGGTTTTAAGGTGAAAAAATAAATCCGCCCCTGTTAAACTTGCACCAGCCGCCGCGTATAAATGATAGAAAATGTTTGTCCAAGACGTTTCTAACTCCTTTTATTTGTTTACAATCTGTCCTGAGGATAATGAATTCAAATCGTGGGATTAAAGCTAAAAGTCACAGGTCCAAAATTCCATATTTGTGTTTGGTTTACCAAATAATTTTCAAAAATTATATATTTGTCTTAAAAAACCGAGTCCCCACGGCCACACAAAAATAGGTGCACTAAAATATGTTTTTAATGACAGAGTTTCCAAAAGGATTCTCACATAATTTTTGTCTCGGTTTAATAGTGTATCTATCAAAAAATTATATTTTAGACTTGGTCAGTTTTAGCTTTAAGCCTACGAAATTTTAACATAGAAATAACATGTGAGTGTTTACTCATGATTAAAACACACGTACTAACATGACTACTTATTTACAAAGATATTTAAAGCCTAAACTATATAAACCTCATTAAATAAACCTACTTTGCCTCAGTTTTATGAATCTCGATATGTTCAGCTAAAACGTATTCTAAAGAATTGGATCATTATTTCAATTTTAAACAACTTATGTTTCGGCTTACAGATGGCAACCATTCATACTTTATGCCTAATATCAAATTACTACATACAAAATATATGATACTACTACAAATGATATTACATACGAAACGTATGTTTCCTCTCAAGTTTACGGTGAACTTCGAACGAATTCTATTTAGCCTAAAGCTAACCGCCCCTTAAATTCTATACGAAACTTACATTCCCGTACGTTATTTTCTAAATTAATTTGGTTCATTGAGTATTCAGCACGTGCTAGTACTTTTAATAGAAGCATAATTTACTGAACACTGAGTTTCTGCCTAACAGGGCTCAAAACACTCTCGAAATTGCACGGGATCATTCATACTTACAAACTACTTTCCTGAATTTTGTATGAATACTCCACGTGTCAGCATCTGGTTTTACATTAAATAGATTAAATTTCATAGGTCAAAATGACCTTGGCAGCACTAACTTTTTCTATTGAAAGTTTTCAGGCTTTACATCATGGTTATGCGGAATTTTCAAATTTGTGCAATAAAATTTGCAGCAAGCAAAAATGTTTAAAAAATCATCATGGTACGAATTACGATTATTATATGAAAGACAGTCAAAATCTCAGTTAACAGACATATTTGGATTTAAAATAATTCAATTATCCAAAGTTCGTGGAAAGTTACGACTAGATTTTCGTGCTGTATTCTGTTGATTAACCATGCTTTTCATCCGGTTCAATGTCTGGATTTAACTATTTAAGTCAGATTTCTTAACTAATTTCGTTTCGTTGGCTTGAAAACCTCAGATGCGCGCATTGAATAAGTTGTGACTTTTTTCACTGAATTCCTAGCTGTTGACTGTTTGCAACAGACTTATATCCTCTTTAAAACATGCAGCTGTATTTGGAACGTCCTATTCTTCACCTGAGATTGGAAAGTACTTTTTTGTATACTGATATTCTGAATACTGTGTGGAAATATTACATACGGTTTTTGCTATATGTTCTAGCATTTCTTCTTCATAAATTATCTTCTTCAATTTCTTCTTACTTTAAAATGCTACTTAAAGATATTGACACCTCAATATTTAACAAGTTTCACTAGTTCGGGATGCATGTTTACTTCCTTTCTATTTTGAATGTAATTTTGAGGTATAGTATCTGCATTAAGTGGTTAAATATATTGGAATATTCTAAAAATGGATGCTGCCAAATACGCTTATTTGCTTTTGTAGCTTAAAATCATAAATCAACATTTAGAGTACCTATTTAAGATGCAACAAATTCATATAAAGTCAGTGCCTAAATTATTGAATAAACTTTTCTAGCTTACTAATATTAGGTCTTAAATTAAATTCTTTAAATGGAACCACCTATTTAGCATATCATGTTTGGGTTAGTTTGGGTTCCAAGTCCAAGTTCTAAATGTTCGTAACACCAGTTAGCTTTTGTGGCTGGATATTTAAGTCCTAATTTTATTCATGAATAATATGCACAAAAAATATCGGGTGATTCCGAAACTCTAATACGATTGATTTTGCTGTATTTTTCAAACACGTACTTCTCATCCGTAACAAGCATGATTTTTTAAATAATATTTTTGAGTTTGTGATAACATTAATATCTGTGGCAAATCCTATCTGATTTCTGAATGTTCTTCAGGAATAACTACTTTATAGTGACAACATCGTCTCGTTTCTTCTAAGCAGGTAGGACAGTGAATTTCGCACAGAAATTGTCGCACTCAAATGCCCATATTTTCCAAACCAAATGTTTGCTACGATTTTTAGTGTAAGACTCTGAAAAGAGTGAAGTTCTTGTTTTCTGATTGCTATTTTTCATGTTTTGCAATTTGCATTCATGTGAGGTAATAGCCATTTTGCTCGCTTGTACTTTTCAATGTAGCACCTATTACTGAGTAAAATGTTCTTTGCAGTAATTGTTTTATTTTTGGCCATATTTCCTTTAATTAATTCTGGGAAAAAATTGCAAAGCAACATATTTGAAAGAAAAATTATTTTTAGAAAAAGCAGTGACAATTTTTTGACAAATTACTGTTGTTTATATGATGAAAAGGATACTGACCTAATTGCAGCTAACATATTGCTCCGACGACATAGTAGGTGCATTTTCAGGGAGACCTTTTTATTTACTGGCAGATTTCCACTTATTAATGTGGTAAAAATACCACAGATTCTATGGAAGTTTTACCTATCAAAACAATTGTTTGAAAGTTAATTTTTTTATCGAGATTTTATGTCGTAAATTGTGTAACTAAACATAATAATAGATATACTAACCTTGATGTATAGTTGCATATTTGCTTATTGCTTGTTTATTTGCTATTGGCATTTTTAAGGGCCAATCAATCAACATATTTCTAAAACATTCAAATAGAGTTTAGACCAAGTTTAAATAAAACGCGAATGTTAAGGTTCGTAAAAGAAAGTCGAAAACAAATTAAAATTTTGATGTGAAGCATTTGCGTATCTTATCAATTGAAAATTTTATATGGCGTTTCACAGATAGTTTCAATTACGTTGGTTGAGTGAGCCTATATAAACAAGAGGATGCAAAATTAGGGGCATAATTATAGTAGCATTGTCTGACGGTATTTAGCACTGGAGCACGCGTAAGGAACGCTGAGAAAGAGTAAAAAATATATTCTCACTTAAAACTGAGGTTCGTAAGAAACCCTGGGTCAAGAAATTCATATCAAAGTTTCTGACTCTCACCTACTAACGATATATTTTGACTAACACTAAAAGGAAAAGGGCCGTAAGAAAGATATCATTAATGGAACTTAAAATTCGTCATTCTGGAGAAAACTTCAATGTTTAAAACATTGTTTGGGCGATATTAAAGAAGATCTTTGGACTAAAGTCAGGAACATTATTAGAATGGGGCGACTATTTCAATTATTACTTCATAACAAGTGCCCCTTCAGCCTTCAGTAATTGAAATACCGACTTTCACTTTCGTAGGTCAAAGGGTTTATGTAGGAGATTTTACTCCTTTTGAATCTCTCCAAAGAATGTGAAGTTGTTTTTTACAATTGTGCTTGAAATAGATTGTTAGTTTTGAATTGAAGAGTATAATTTAAACTCTAACCGCAAATATAACGTTAAGAATAAAGACAAATGAAGTAGAAATTTCGGCCAAGAAATATATGTCTTAATGCGACACTCGCCGGTGAGCCAAAGGCCAAACAAAGGCAAATGTAGCACCTTAGTAGCCAAAGCCTCATTAGCCGGTTAAAATGACGCCAATGTTCACGTTTGAGTGAATTCAGAGATTCGTGATATATTCACCCAAATTCAACTCAGAATCCACTTCAGAGACTTTATTACTTACTTTGTGTTGTTAAATATTCTAATGGTTAGGAATGGAACAGTTGTCATTTTTTCCGTTTTGCCAATCTAAACTCAAATGTAACTGTCCACGCAGCTTCTTAATAGCCAAAGCCACAGTAACATCTGAAAACTCAACAAATGAAGTTGAACAAAAAAGCTTTTAATCCTTTAGAATAGAACTCCTATATGCAGTGTTCCAGAAATACTGCGGATTTTGATGATCAGATAATGAGATTCGGCCGATTGCTGCAAACTCTAATGTATTTTTAAATAGAACGTTTTGAACTCTCAAAAAGTACAAATATATTTTGTTTTCCAGACGAGGCTTATTTGAAAATGGCAATGGAAACCATGGAAGAACTGGACTGGTGCTTGGACCAACTGGAAACCATTCAAACTCACCGATCTGTATCAGATATGGCGTCATTAAAGGTAAGTTCTTAAGCTTGAGATGACCGTTATAGGATGATCTTCAAAGTTATATACTTGTTACTCCTGACGTGGAATACTCGTTTGTGAAATTTAATACCCGAAAAGTTCCAGAAATTGCTATTGTGGCATACCTATGTGAATGACTATTGTTAATGCAAAACTTTAAAAACGGGAGTAGAGGTTCACTTCAGACATACGAAATTATGAATTAAAACAAGAACATTCAACTTGAAATAACATAATTTTAAGGGCTTTGCGTCCGGATGTTTGGTAATATTTCCAGATTTCACCATGCCGGTCAACATTTTCCATATATCGATTTAGATCTCACACGCGGATGTTGCAATTAGAGGAATCATTCGCTCGTTTAAAGCCTCTTAAGGTTTAAAACTTCCAGAATATGCAACCCTTAAATTTATAAAACAGTGGGACATAGATCATCAAAGATAAGAACCGTCCAAATAGACGGTTATTTTAATTAATTTTATATGTTCACTTCGTGCTATAGGAAGTATATCGAGACTGCAGAAAACGAAGGGAGCTTTCAAAATTTGGATAATTCATATCCTCAGTTCTAACATGGTTTGGTGTAACTTTTTTAGTGTGCAAATCCCGCGTTTAAGCGCTGTATTTTGGTTAGAGCGTTTGAGGCTTTGGCTCGTTGTTCTAAAACATGAGGCCCTGCCAAAGTCTTAGAAAATTAATATCGTAAAAATGCTTAAAAATAACTGACTGGTCGTAAGGAATTTGATAAACTGTGAAGAAAGCTATATTTTGTTAAATCAATATTAACTACTAGCAGATAAAAACGTAGTAATAAAGTCTATAGAGAAGAGAGTCCATTTATAGGTTTTAATGTTTCTCACCAAATCTGAACACTGGATATTGACCGTTTATCATTTTCGCCCAATATTTTCGGCTTTGCCGCCACCTCGCGATTTTGCGCCGTCAAATTTCTTAATGTTTCCGGTAAGTCTTAATTTAAGATCCATGTATGCATTTTATTTAGAAAATCGGCATGTTATTTGTTCAGGATTTTATTGGCAGCAGCTGCGAACTTCAATAAAGTAGTTTACTGTAGGAATATGATTTGCTCAATATATTTAAATTCGTTTTTAGACATGATTGCCATTCTGTGGAGGATCTATTTTGGACATTTTTTGGGGTTTTTTATTACAATTATATAACAGCGTAAACTATATCGAGGACATTATTTTGACAGCGATATTTTTCAACTAGGGTTCAAACAACAGGATACTGTTGAAAGCTATAATTTTCAAGAGTTTCAAACTTTCCGTGCCAGGGAAAGTGTATATGTGTTGCAATGTGCGATGTTGCAATGTTGTTGTGTGCAATGTGCGAAATCCGGTAATATACAAAATGCCTAGGCATTCTGCAAACTGACCAACTCGCCAGGCATTTTGCAGAATCGCTACTACTTTGGGCAATCTGCACATTGACTACGGTATTTTAGGCAATCTGCCAAATGCCGTACGCGCTAGTCAATTTGAGTGTTAGATATGTTTAATCTTCACATTGACTAGACAATGTGCATAAACCTGTTGCTACGAAACTATGCACGTTATTTTTGCAACGGAACTTTGTTGCTTAGTTTTTCAAGGAAAGGTTTTGTAGTAATTTGTAAAATTTACCGCGTTTCCAGTGGTGGTTATTAATTATTAGTTCTTATTCCTGTCCAATTAACGTCGTGCAAAAAAAATTTGATTTTTTGGACGTTTGGTATTCGGGTTTACATATTATTTAATGTAAAATGAAAACCAGG